ATATATATATATATATATATATATATATATATATATATATATATATATATATGGGAAAAATGCTTCCAGCCCCTAAATTCGTAACAAGTATGCTTCCCCCTCTCAAGACTTTTTCAACGCTCTAAAAACCCCCAAATTCGTAATAACTATGCTCTGAACCCCAAAACACAAAGCCTAAGAATTTTACACAGGTAAAGAGTATAATATCCATTCTCTCTCTAATATTATATTCGTAATAACCATACAATCCGTCCTCTCTCCCTCCTCCCTCCCCCACCATTTTTGCCCTTGCCCCCTCCGTCCCTTCTGCAACCCTCGTGGCGGCCGAAGCTCCTCTCCGGTCTCACGCCTCGACTGTCCACCGCCGATCCCAGCGCAGCCTCCGCTCGACCCCTCGCCTCTGTTCCCAACCCAATCCCTCCTCCCCCAGACGCCACATCAAACCCCCCTCTCCATCATCCCCCACCATGTATAGTGCTGTCGTTCTTGGAAATTATTATACTTTATGTCTTTTCATACAACTTGTGCGTGTGTGTTAAATACTTCATTCATCTTTTTCTGCAGGGAAATTTACCGTGGTTGTTAAGGTTATACGCGTTGCTTGTTAATGTTACGTGTTGGTTGTTAAGGTTATACGCGTTGCTTGTTAAGGTTACGTGTTGGTTGTTAAGGTTATACGCGTTGCTTGTTAAGGTTATATGCGTTGGTTGTTAAGGTTTCGGGTTGCTTGTTAAGGTTACGGGTTGCTTGTTAAAGTTACGCGTTGGTTGTTAAAATTAACCGTAACCTTAACAAGTAATCCGTAACCTTAACAACCAACGTGTAACCTTAACAAGCAACCCAAACCTTAACAACCCGTTGGTTGTTAAGATTAACCGTAACCTTAACAAGTAATCCGTGACCTTAACAACCAACGTGTAACCTTAACAAGCAACCTGTAACCTTAACAACCAACACGTAAATCGTTTGGCTTTTGAAAATTCGTAACCTTAACAACCAACACGTAACCTTAACAAGCAACCTGAAACCTTAACAACCAACGCATATAACTTTAACAACCAACACGTAACCTTAACAACCAACGTGTAACCTTAACAAGCAACCTGTAACCTTAACAAGCAACCTGTAACCTTAACAAGCAACACATAAATCGTTTGGCTTTTGAAAATTTCATTAAAATTAAAAGTGAAATATTATTACAAAATCTAGCTCACTCCCACTACCTAAAACAAATGTATGCATCATCGTCTTCTTCCTCTACCCTATCAACGGTCTCAAAACCATGGCAGTCGACCTCCTCAGTGAGTGTTGAGTGGTAAAATGAAAGTAATCATACATTGCACAGTTTTATGTGGTGCTGTAAGCATGAATTTTCTGAAGGAAAGTATAGAATTGTTACTGCTTTTTATTTTTATGAAGTTATGAATTATTATAGTAGAAGTACAAAAAATTAAAGTTTTTTTTTTTCTATTTCCTTCCTTTTTTTATTTTTATGAAGGTTTTACGGGTTTCTTGTGAAGGTTACGGGTTTGCTTGTTAAGGTTACACGTTGGTTGTGAACGTTACGCGTTGGTTGTTAAGGTTACGGGTTGGTTGTTAAGCTTAATCTTCACAATCAACGCGTAACCTTAACAAGCAAACCGTAACCTTAACAAGCAACACGTAACCTTAACAAGCAACCCGTAATCTTAACAACCCGTAACCTTAACAACCGTAACCTTATCTGCAAATAGAAAAGATAACTATCATTGGGTACATGTATACTAAACGTGAAGAAAGAAAATACCGTTGATGCAAGAGAGAAGAGACATTCTTTTTCGAACAGGAAAACTTATTTTGAAGGGGGAAAATAAAAAAAGAAAAAGATCCCAAAAAGAAAACATGTGACAGGAAGAAACTCTGTTGCTAGTAAATCTAGATGCATTAGTTTCAGAAGCTACAAAGCAACATCAAGTTCGCACGTGTCATTGCGAGATCAATTCAATCATTAGACATCTCTCTGCTCCTCTTTGCTAGGTTGCGCTCGAGCTTGTGTGCATTCTGGTGTCCTCCAAGAGCTTGGGCGCTGTAAAAAATCCGTCGGCAATAGTTACACGAGAAAACTCGTGCGTGCTCAGGACGAGGCCCAGGCTGCAGGGACATGTTAAGGTTGAGGTCCTGAGCTTCATGAAATATTCTCGGCGAGCGGAGGCCGAGGGGTCGAGCGAGGGGTCGAGCGGACACCGCGTTGGGATCAACGGTGGACATGGAGGATCTCGGCGAGCAGAGGCGAGGGGTCGAGGCGTGAGACCGGAGAGGAGCTTCGGCCACCACAAGGATTGCAGAAGGGACGGAGGGAGCTAGGGCAAAAATGGTGGGGGAAGGAGGAGGGAGAGAGGAGAGATTGTATGGTTATTACGAATATAATATTAGAGAGAGAGAATGGGTATTATAGTCTTTACCTGTGTAAAATTCTTGGGCTTTGTGTTTTGGGGGCTCAGAGCATAGTTATTTATTGCTATAATTATCTATAATTTTCTTTATCTTTGGAAAAGAACACTAATAAAGTTTAATTGTAACTTTTTATATTTTATTTCTATAATTAATTACATTGTAATGGTAAAAAAGAGACAAAAACACATATTAAATACTCATTCTCGTTTATGCATAGTTTATGTGTTTTTTCTCTTGCTAACTTCCTTTATTCTCTTCTCATTCACTCATCTTTCATATTTGTTTAATCTTTGATACTCAACATACATAATTGCAATTCTAATCCGGAATGCCCCAAAATAAAAGGTAAGCTTGTTGGTTTTTATTTATTTTAATAAATTTACATTCATTCTCCTCATATATATATATCACGGTTTTGTTATGTATTTTGTGTTTCTATTTTTTTTATATCTTTTATTCAACTAAATTGATTAGATTTTAATCCTTACATGATTTGTGCTAAAGAGATTGCCAATTAAATGAACGTAGAACCAAAATTTTGTGAAAAACATGTAATTAGAAGAAAGAAAAAATTTGATGAGAATGAAACTAATGAGGTGAGACTTTCACCTAAAGAATCTTTTAAAATTAATTATTTCAACTATATAGTTGATAATGCCATTTCTTCACTTCAAATTAGGTTTGAACGGTTTAAGATATATGCAGATAATTTTGGCTTTTTGTATGATGTAGAAAAATTAAAATGATTGGTGATGATTTTCTAAAAGAAAATTGTTTGGATCTTGAATTTTTTTTTTAAAAACATGACATGTTATCTGATATTGATGATTTATATTTATTTTCAGAACTAAAAGTTTTAAAAGAAATAATAAACACTGAATTAAAAACAACACTTTGGATACTAAACCTTATAAAAAATTAAATTCTTTTCCCAATGCATGGATAGCTTATAGAATACTACTGACAATACCTGTTAGTATAGCTTCAGCATGCAGAAAGAAGTTTTTCAAAAATTAAATTAATAAAATCTTATTTATGCTCAACAATGTCTCAAGAAAGATTAAATATTTGGTAATTTTATCAAGTGAAAAGGATTTATTATCAAAGCTTCAATATAAAAATTTAATTAGTAACTTTGCATCTCAAAAAGCTAGAAAATTAAACTTTATATAAAATCTATTTATTAAAAACTAATATTTAAATTTTTTTAAATAATATTAAGGACCCAAATATTTTTCACTTCATATAGCCTCAAAAATGCTTGTGACGGCCCTGAACACCCTGAAATTAATCTGCAGGGTCTTATCCTAAATTTAATTATTTGAGTAGCTAGAAAAAGAGTGCCTTAATTAATTAGACTCTATATAAACCGATACCTCCTCATGCTCTTGGTGCACAAATCCTTACGCGCGTACGATTCCTCGCAGTACAGCACATCAGTAACTTCAAAGCAGCATGGCCTCAGTTAGATTCCTACGGCTCATGAGCTTGCTGATCTTGGGTGTCTGCGCTTTCCAGGCCTCGGCATCCCGCCGACTCGGCGGGGTGCCCCTGGATGTCCCAGCACGGGAGAGTTTACAAGAACGAAGCAGAGAAGGCGCATCGCCTTGCCACATTCAAGACCAATAAGGAACTCATAGAGTCGTTCAATGCTGGGGGCCACAAATTTAAGCTTGGGATTAACCAGTTCGCAGACCTCACCAACGACGAATACAATGAAATCTGCAGTGGGTTCAATCCTCCGTTGATGACCGCGGTGAAAGCAGCGAAAGGGTTCATGTACGAGAACGTTATCGACGTGCCTTCGGGTGTGGATTGGAGGACAAGAGGCGCGGTCACTCCTATCAAGCACCAAGGGCACTGCGGTAATTAAGCAAATATATACTCTAAATATATAATTAAGCGCATTATTATTAATTTGTCCAAAAATATAGTCCTTTCAGTTTGCCGGCCTTTACCGGCCGTTTTCTATAATTAAAAAGGAAACATTTTTCAGCAGGTTCGGTTACATCCAGATGATTACTGATTAGATACGTAACTTTTAATTACCTGAGCATTTAAAGAGCATATGAAGGCCAGACAAGTAAATAACTAAATAGTTCAGTTTTTTTTTGGTCAATGAAAAATTTTATTCATTTCCCAATATGTGAAATATGGAGTACATCAACACACCATCTCTTGGTGTTTACACTGTAACATAATCACAACCTCTCAAGTGTATCTTTTATATGTACAGGTAAGTTTGAATTAAGAATTTTGATGTAAATTGCCAGTTTGATATCTCTAAAAACTAGCTCTGGCTCTCTAAATTTTTCCTGAAAAATCCTCCGATTCCTTTCTTGCCAAATAGAGTACAGTGCAATTGAAAGGGCCATTCTCTTCAATTTCCTTGTAAATCCTCCCCCTTTGAGCTTGTGCGAATACCAGTTTATGATACGGTTCCAGTCACAAGATCTCCATGAATATTTCAACCATTCCATCAAGTTATTCCAGATTTTTGCTGAGAACTGACAGTCAAAAAATAGGTGCTTGCATGACTCCTGTTGATGATTGGGGCATAATACACATTCATTTGAATTTAGGATCCCCATATGACATAGCCGATCTTGGGTAAGAATTCTGGAATGACATACTAGCCAAAGAATGAAGGAATGCTTGGGGTAGTGTAATCCATTCTAAATTGTCTTTGACCAATGCATAGAAGAGGATGACAGTGATAGGACTTTGTACATAGCTGATAACTGGACTTTATCCCCTGTGCAGCATGCACGAATAGTACTCTGCATATTCTGAATATTACCAAATCTGGATAATAATAAGTCTCTCACCTTTATAATTTGCTTCCACATCCAAGAATCATTCCTTTTGCTCTGAACTTGCCATAAATCTGAAGATTGCAAGTAGTTTGTATGAATCCATTTAATCCACAGCAAGTCTTTCTTGAGATGAATTGACCACATCAACTTTATAGCTGCTGCATAGTTCCAGTTTTTAGCAGAAAAAATCCCCAGTCCTCCAGCTTCCTTGCTTTTACACACATTTTCCCATGCAATCAGGTGGATTTTTTGACCCCAGAGGAAATTAGAACATAGCTTGTCAATTTTCTCAAGAACTTTTATCAGCAATATGTAGTTGCTAGTCCAGTAATTTTGCACTCCCAGGATTACAGTCTTGATCAATTGGAGCCTACCTGCATATGACAAGCATCTTTTTTGTTGCCAGTCTTGTAACTGACCAGAAATCCTATTGATAAGTGGAGAGCAATCCAAATATGTGAGTCGTTTCCCAATCAAAGGCATTCCAAGATAACGTACAGGCAGAACACCTTCTGGATAGTTAAGGTAGCTGCAAATTTGATCTTTTAAACTGTTATCAATCCCACTTAAAAAGATTGAACACTTTGCTGAATTTGCTTCCAGACCAGAAACTTGGCTAAAATGTTGAAGACATGCTTTTAATCTAGAGATTGAGTACATGTCAGCCTTACAGAGCAGCAAGAGGTCATCCGCAAACATCAAACGTGCAATGTTCAAACCAGAGCACTTGGGGTGGAATTTGAACATTCTATCTTCCTTTAGAGTATTTAATTTCCTTGATAGATACTCCATTCCTTACACAAATAGGTAAGGAGATAATGGATCCCCTTGTCTGAGGCCTCGAGCTCCATGGAAATACCCATATAAAGAGCCATTCAATGAAAGAGAATACTTGGGGGTGGTTATACATTCCAAAATCCAGCATATCATCATATTTGGAAAACCCAAGCCTATCAACATATCTTTGATAAACCCCCAACTGATAGTGTCAAAGGCCTTTCTCAGGTCAATATTTAGGATGGCTTTGGGAGAACTCTTCTTTCTACCATAGTGTTTGATGAGCTCATGAGCCATAAGAATGTTGCTAGATATGAGTCTCCCCTTTACAAAAGCACTTTGTGCTTCATTAATTAGATATCCCATAACTTTTTGAATTCTTCTTGCTATTATTTTTGTAATGATTTTGTAAACTACATTACAACAAGATATGGGTCTATAATCTGCTGGAGTACTAGGGTTGAGGATTTTAGGCACAAGAGTGATAGATGTGGAGTTGAAGGTTCCAAGAAGTTTACCTGTACAGAAAAACTCCTCAATTGCAAGATATAGATCAGTATCGATGATGTTCCATGCCTTCTTGAAGAATTCAGCACTAAATCCATCAGGGCCAGGAGCCTTCCCCTCAGGCATTGTAAAAACTGCATTTTTGATCTCTTCTCTAGTAATAGGGCAACACAGATCATCACATTGGCTGTTAGTGAGGACAGGTCCCTTAGCAATTGTATCAGGATCTGGCGACAAGGTGGGACTTGCAGTACCAAGAAGCCTTTTGTAATAGCCAGTGAACTCAGAAATGATTCCAGGCATATCAGTTATTCTTTCCCCATTCTCAGAGTAGATAGATAAGATATTCTGTTGATGCCTTTTCATTTTCATAACAGAGTGGAAAAATTTAGTACCTTTATCACCATGTAGTCCCCAATTGATATTTGATTTTTGCCTATAGAAGGAGCACTCACATTCCATAAGATTAAGGTACTTTTTTGCACATTCCTTCTCTCTTGCTATTAAAGCTGAATCAAAGAGATTATTGCTCAGCTGCTGTTGAATGTCACATAATTCATTTTTTGCTCTTGCTACCAATCAAAGAGATTATTGCTCAGCTGCTGTTGAATGTCACATAATTCATTTTTTGCTCTTGCTACCTGCTCAGTGATATTCATGAAATGCTTGCTGCTGTTGAATGTCACATAATTCATTTTTTGCTCTTGCTACCTGCTCAGTGATATTCATGAAATGCTTGTTGTTAAGTTCTTTTAGTGCAGGTTTAAGATTCTTTAGTTTACAGTGGAGTCTGTACATGTTGTATCCCTTTATTACTTGACTCCAGACTGATTGTACCACAGGTAGAAATTTTGAGTGCTTTGTCCACATATCAAAAAACTTGAAAGGTTTTTTCCCTTCAACCCTCTCATTTCCTACTGTTAACAGAGCTGGCGAATGATCAGAGCAAGATGGCATCAAAAATTCTGCCTGACTGGAGGAATAACATTGTATCCAATCCTCATTAACTAGTACTCTATCCAATCTACACCATACTCTTGCATCTGCCTCTTGCTTGTTATTCCAAGTGAAAAAACACCCCACTGACTTAATATGTATTAGTTGACATGCATGAATAAAAGTCTGCAGGTCTTCAGTGTCAGAATCAGAAACTGGAATGCCACCCATCTTTTCTTCATTATTGATAATAGTGTTAAAACCCCCTCCAATCAACCATGGACCACTAACACTCCTTTTAAAGTTCTGCAATTCTTCCCACATTATTTTCCTGCTAGCATTATGATTAGAAGCATAGATGATAGTGATTAAACATGACAGATTCCCATCCCTTGACATCACATTGCAAGTTATGTATTGCTTTGAGATCACTAATACCTGAATAGTAAGGATATCTTTATCCCATAATATCCAAATCCTTCCTTTGCTTGTTTCATTAGCATTGGAGATCCAGTCCCAATCTTTTGCACATTTCCTGGCAATTGACTGCATTTTACCTTTAGCAACTTTAGTTTCCAGTAGAGCAATAAAAGATAGTCTATATTCATGTATAAATCTTTTTACTATCATATGTTTAGAGGATTTGTTGAATCCTCTAATGTTCCATATTGCCAAGTGCATTTATAGATGATTTCCACCTCTGTCTGCACTAGAGGGGTCTAAATCCAAGTCCTGATACTCCAATATGGAAAAATGAGAGGTTTGAATTGAAGGACCAGAATCAGTTGCATATCTTCTTGTTGCCCTGGTTTTAGAAACATTTACTAAATAGTTCAGTTAAAGGGGGAATTAAGCTGCTCAAAGAAATTAGACTAATCTAGATTATGAATCGAGGTGCCATGCAATTCTCATATCCCAAAAGGAAAGATAATCATTAAGCCCTTAAGTTAACTAGCTAGCCATACACACTGCCGGATTTAAACGCAAGAAATAAAAATTAAAAAAAAAATTAAAAAAAAAATCTGTGCATGTCTAGTCGTTATAACTGGCTAGCCATTTATATGTCTCCAAAACAGGATCTTGTTGGGCATTCTCTGCTGTTGCTGCAGTTGAAGGCATCTCTCAGATCAAAACCGGCAATCTGATATCCCTCTCGGAACAAGAGCTCCTTGACTGCGACACCAGCAGCGAGAACAACGGCTGCAACGGTGGCCACATGGCCAAAGCTTTTGAGTTCATCGTCAACAATGAAGGCCTATCAGCGGACGCCGACTACACGTACAAGGGACTAACGGGTCCTGCGAAAACCTGCAGCTCCAAAAGCTCCTTCTCACATCCGGTCGCGATCAGCGGGTACGAGGATGTACCCTCTAACGATGAAGTAGCGCTACTCAAAGCTGTGGCGAATCAGCCAGTGTCTGTTGCCGTTGACGCAGGCAGCTTTGCTCTCCAATTTTACTCTAGCGGCATCTTCACAGGCTCGTGTGGGACTAACCTGAGCCATGCAAGCTTTGCTCTCCAATTTTACTCTAGCGGCATCTTCACAGGCTCGTGTGGGACTAACCTGAGCCATGCAGTGACTATTGTTGGCTATGGTACTGAGAGTGATGGAACCAAGTATTGGATTGCGAAGAATTCGTGGGGGTCTTCATGGGGTGAGAATGGATACATAAAGATGGAGAGGGATGTCGATGCTGAGGGGGGGCTCTGTGGTATTGCTATGCAAGCTTCGTATCCAACCGCTTGATCAAAAACAAGTGTTTGTTTTCTAGGGCTCTGTGGTATTGCTATGCAAGCTTCGTATCCAACCGCTTGATCAAAAACAAGTGTTTGTTTTCTAGCTACCTAGCAAGTAGTGGTGTGTATTTTCTTTTCTTTCCTTGTACCTGCTTGAATAAACCTTTGCCCAAGTTGTGAAAACTTGTAGCAAAGTGGGCGTGTGTGACGTGTGTCTATAAGTTGGGCAACTTTGTATTTCAAGTGGATATTATGTAATGATTGCTGGTATTGATTCTGTCTTATATAGTAGTTAAACAACCGGTAAAAATGTCATGGGGATATGAGCAGTGATAACTACACTACTAATCCTATGCTATTTTTATATTACAACATAGAAAATTATGATGTCCATTCTCTTCAACTTTTTTCAAAATTGATGACTCGTTAAGGGAGCTCATGAGTTGTTCTCTCTGTTGTGGTATATTTAGAGTTTTTTGTTTTTAGACCCAATTCTTTACTCTGATTTATCTATAAACCCAACAACTTTCTTTTGTATCATTGAACCCAATTAACTTTATGTATTTGTCTCTAAACCCAAATAGTATAATTTAGAGTTAGGGTATCTTGTATTTATACATTTCTCAAGTAAAAATCCCAAAATACCCCGCCCTCAATCTCCACAAAACCAGTTCTCTCTCCTCTCCGTTCTTTCTTTGCCCTTTTTATAACCGAAGAAAATGAAGAAAACCCCCCTTCTTCCTCTGTTCTCTCTCTGCTCTCCATTCTTTCTTGATGCCCATCGGATCCCTTCTTCTCTCCTCTTTCAATTCCTCTACAACTAGTCCAATTTGAGTGAAAATCTGAGTCCTAGTTTAAGCCCTAACTTTTCCATTCTTTTCTTCACGCCACCACCGCCGCCATTGCTGACGTCAAGGTCTTGAACTCTAGCTGCAATGCTGACAGGCGCATGACTGCTACCATCTTCTCACCGCTGCCATTGCCCAACCGTCGCCGTCACATAAGACCGCCATTGCCTTACCGCTACTATCACCTAACACCGCCGTCACCTAACATTTCAACTAACGTCGTCATCTCCTTTAGTGTCTCAACTAGAGCGTATCCCCCTATAATGGTCAACCCGACTGCCGGCGGCTCACTCTCAAGCCTCCACCCCCTTCTCTATAAGTAATCTCTCCTCAAAATTCTGTTTTCTAGTGATTGGTATTCTATCAGTGTGTGCTACTTCTTCTTTTTGTTATTTCAATTTGCATCTTATTTGTTTAGTTTAGTTTTATTCTTTTTCCATAGAGTGGTTGTCCATAGTATATGGTAGAATATGAATCCCTCATTCTTGTAGTTGATAAAATTTAGTGAAGTAATTTTATTTTGCCTAGAGATGTGAAATAGGTAAATATATGGTGATAGAGAGTATAGTTGATGGCATATCACAATACGTAAGTTTTTATAATATTGTGATTTTGTTTACACTTTTTACAAACACAATGGGGATGATAGCATATTATTGTGATTTTGTTTACACTTTTTACAAACACAATGGGGATGATAGCATATTTAACAAAAACTAACAGCTTCTATGTAAAAACTTGACATCTTGACAAACACAATGGGGATGATAGCATATTTAACAAAAACTAACAGCTTCTATGTAAAAACTTGACATCTTGGTGATTGTAATGTATTAATTTCTATATGTGATTACTTGATTACCTATAATTTACGATGGTTTACTGCCGAGTTTATATATAATTTAGACCATAGAGAAGTATCACTACCACATAATTGATCTATTGCAGCGGTTAAGGTGCAATGGTTTTAACTGTTGCGTTAGATATCTATCGCAACGATTTACAGTGTCTAATGCAACAATTTATAAAAAACGTTGTCATAGGCCTAGTAATTATCGCTGGACCAAATAATTGTTCCTTGGCTTTTGGAGCTTAAGTTTTTAAAGCCCACGGCCCTGACCACTTAACGAAATATCTCCCTCTCAACTCTGGAAGACTTTTGGTCCTGACCGCTGTAGGCGTATAAAATTGCTTATAGGTCCCTTAGCATAGCTCGGCACAAACCGACGAACCAACGAGACGACGAGGTTAACAAATCGCACGCAAACAATGAAATAGATCCACTCGCGTGCGGAATCAAGCTAACGGGTTGAAGAGTCAACGAGTCATCCATCAAAGGGCAGACTCGGACGAATCACGATCGAATCAAGATCAGTTTCGGACTCGAACTCAGAAGTGGATTTACTGCCAAATCAGGAATCAGATTTACTGCCAAATCAGGTCAACGATTCAAGTCCGGATAAATCAACCACAGAACCGGATCACAGACTGAACCGAAAACGGAAAACGACGGAAAACCACGCCTAAAGGGGGGCTCGGCCGAAACCAAGCCACCTAAGGGTGGCTCGGTGTGCCGGCCCAGTTCTGTGCGCAGGCACAGTTCAGAGAGCCTATAAATAGGCCCCCCTTGGTTCATTTGTAAAGGTTGGAATTTTTGGAGGCGAAGCCCTGCTGGATTGAAGACTCAGATCTAAAAAAAAGATCCAAGCTTTGGGACTTCGAGGACTTGTTCATCCAGATCTGGTGCTCGGCGATCGTCAACGCCAAATAAGGCGAGAGTTCGAGAGGACCGGATCTCAGATCTACGCAGGCGTACTCCGGATCAAAGCTTGGTCTTTGATCCCGAGAATTAAAGGCTACTATTTCCTTGGCGAAATAGTACCCTCGGCTATTATTTCCTTGGCGAAATAATACCCGTCATACTGCGTAGAGCCGATCGGATCTAGATCTCGCGGTGGTCCACGGATAAACCCCGGCGCAGGCAAAGAACCCACAAAGAGAGCGACCGCAAAACAGGAGCTCGTGATTTGTTCAACAAAAGAGAAAAGTTGTAATTTTTATTTTCTTTTTTGATCTCGTTGTAACCGGATCTTATAAAAAGACCGGATTTTTATAATCGAAAAACAGTTACAAGAGTGCAATGGAATCAATGAAGAAAGACACGATTTTTCCCGCGAACAACCGCTTAACGAAATCCATAAAAATTTCCGCTCCCTAAAATCGCCATGGCCAAAATTTTCCGCTCCCTAAAATCGTCGTGGCCAAGATCAACATATAATCGTCGATCTCATCACTGATTCTCATCTCCACTCTCTTCACCTGGATTTCGATTTCGAAAACCCTAGAATCCTTCTTCGAGTCCATGAGCAAGGTCGATTTGATACAAGGGAAGCCCTAGCGATCCTCTCAACCTCGATCTTCATCTAATCTCAAGTAAGTTCGTGATTATTTAAGTATGTTTTTAGAAATTTCTGCGTGGATCGATTGATTTTCAGAAAAAATTATGCTAGATTGCAGGGGCTTTTTTCATCAGTGATATCTGAATTTCTAGATTGGTTCTAGATTTGATCTATTTCTCTAGAATTCGTGCATTATAAATTCAATTGATGTCAATTGTAGTCAAATTTGCTAATTTTCTTGGTGCACGTTGGGCAGAAAATAAGGGAAAATGCTGAAAGTTTTGAATAAAGAAAAGAAATGCATTGAATCTAAAGCCTCCAAATCTCGAGAGAATAGGGTTTCAGAGGTAATCTCACTCTGGCGCTCAAATCCCTTTTCATCTCTCTGACGTTTGAAATGAAACCCGTGTTTTTGTTGTTAATCATCGTTGATATGCCGTGAGAAAGTTACAATTTTTACTTTTTTTTAAATGCTCGTTCCTTCTCAATTTGTGCCTTTTAATCAAATTGCAGAATTTTGTATCATAAACTGAAGAAAGGGAACATACGTTTTTATTCTGCTAGTAACAAAAAAAATTTAACAAACTTTTACGGGATTAATTGAATTCAAAATGTATAATCAGTAGTCAGAAAGAATAACGTCGCATGTTGTAATTTGGCAAATATGAACTTGTAGGATGTTGACAAAGCTTTTTCTACTTTTACCGCAGCGGAGAGAGAAAGGCTATATCAGATGATTATTCAGGTAACTTTTGTACATTTCCAATGTCTATCTTATGACCGATAATGCAAATTAGGAGTAAAAATTGCTATCTTCAGACAATTGCAATTTTCTGGCTAATAGGAGACATGATTAATGCATTTTCCCCCTTTTATCTTGTTTATTTTAAAGCAATCTCCCTGTTAGATTGTAAAATAACACCATTCCACAAAAGCCAATAATACATGTACTTGTACTTTTTAGCTAGTAACAAAGTTCTATGTTGTTTTTATGTCTTAAAATTAGGCGTTTGAAATGTTTCCGATTCCAGGTATATGATTCCCTGGAACATCGATTAGTTGTTGCTGAGGCAGCTCAAAGGTTGAGGCTTCGATTCCAGGTATATGATTCCCTGGAACATCGATTAGTTGTTGCTGAGGCAGCTCAAAGGTTGAGGCTTCCTCTTCTTTCTAAAGATGGGGAAATTCATGAGGAGGAGATTGAGAAGTGCAGTTTGATGTCAAGAAGTTCTCTTGACAGCACAACAACTAGCATTACTCCCTGCTTTAGCTCAAACTCAACAAGTTACAACAATAGCTATGCAAGTAATAGTAGTATGCTAAATGCCTCTCTTATTTACAATGTTATATTTAAGTGCGTTGATCAATCTTCATTCCCTCATAAACCACACAGGGCGCTTAGTTAATTTGCAAATAAATCATAATTTCATTCTCTCTTTGACAGGAAAAGTAAAGGATGGTAACAATGGAGACATTGCCGATAATCATTATCATCTCTATGAGGTGCATCTTCATTATGTTTCAATGTGTGAAGACTATTTCAGAAATTTTGGGGGTAAAACTTTTATTTTCAGGATTAGATCAGCGAGTTGATGATTTAGAGCTTGTTCTTGAACAGGAAGATGTCAACTTGATGCATTCTCTGGGTGTTAACTCGTATAGATTTTCGATATCATGGTCTAGAATTCTTCCAAGTGAGTTTACTATCTGATTAGCTCCAATATTTGCTACTATATAAAACCTGACATATTAATGGAAGATTTGCTTGTCAATAGGAGGTCGGTTTGGAGAAATTAATCAAGTGGGCGTAGCATTCTACAATAACCTTGTTGATTCCCTCTTGCTCAGAAGTAATTTCTTTAGCTTCCTTGTAATTTTAAATGAATAAGTTAAAGACAAAAATTTTGTGTTATGAATAATAAACTCTCGCTGCTTCTGTTATTGCCTTCTCTTTCATGACTCTGGAGCAGGAATACAACCATTTGTGACATTGAATCATTTTGATATACCACAAGAGCTTGAAACGCGATATGGTGCATGGCTTAGTCCGAAGATACAGTAAATTCCTTTTTCATTTTGTTGCGACTTGTCACTCTCTCTATATAAATTTTGTTACATCGCAATTGCATTAATCTAATCATCTTTTTATATGATAAATCTTGCGGTGAAATTTGGAGACATAAATGCATCTCCTCATGTGTGGGGACTCCTAACATCGGTTTCCTTTTTTCAGGAAAGATTTTGCATATTTCGCGGAAGTATGTTTCGAGGAATTTGGTGATAGAGTAAAGTTTTGGAGCACATTTAATGAGCCAAACCTTATGCTGAAATTTGGTTATCTCAACGGTGATAGAGTAAAGTTTTGGAGCACATTTAATGAGCCAAACCTTATGCTGAAATTTGGTTATCTCAACGGTAAGCACCCTCCTGGTCGTTGTTCAGAACCATTTGGAAATTGTTCTTTCAGGGATTCTTCAACCGAACCGTATATCGCTGCACATAATATCATATTATCCCACGCAAGGGCTGTTGGCATCTACAAAAACATCTACCAGATAAAAATGTCAATATGCTGCATGCTTTTCATTGACACGAAGTGGTTATTAATGTGAAATCAATTATTAAGGCGAAACAAGGAGGCTCTATTGGAATTGTAATTATGACCCAGTGGTATGAACCTCTCAGAAATATCACAATAGACATTTTGGCAGCTCAGCGGGCACTCTCTTTTGAAATGGCTTGGTAATATCAAGTTTGTTTGAAGAAGTTAATAGAAAGATTTCACTCATATATATGTGTCATATTTATTAAATGAAATATTGAAGTTACTTTTTGGCTTTATAAGGTTCCTGGATGCTTTACTACAAGGTGATTATCCTATTGAAATGCGTCGAGTCCTTGGATCAAGGCTACCCACATTCACAGATGAAGAGAAGACCAAATTACGAAAGGGAGTGGATTTCATAGGAGTCAATCACTACACAAGTCTTTATGTGAAGGATTGCATGTTTTCTCCATGCGAGCTGGATAAATTTTCAGGAAATGCGCTAGTATTCGCCACCTCACAAAGAAATGGGGTGCTTATTGGAGCTTCGGTAAGCGCCAAGAAAAATAGTAGACAGAGATTATCAAAAGTTTAGACGCAATATTAGATTGTTTATTGGCTATCATTTATAAATATGATTTCATGTTGTAGACCGGGATGCCAACTATGTTTGTGGTTCCACATGGCATGGAGAAGGTGATCATGTACTTCATGCAAAGATACAACAACACACCTACGTACATTACTGAAAATGGTGTGCGCTGAAAATCTTTTTTTTTTTACTTTGAGAAAAGTGTAGGACATATCATGCAAAGATACAACAACACACCTATGTAAGCATGCTACAAAGCAATAAGGAGAAAGCCATTGATCCATGTGATCAAGTCCCTGAGTCAATTGTTCAAGCAATAACAAAGAAGGTGGTGGCCAATTTTATTATTCCCCAATATCTTTTGCAGAAGTTTCTGGTTGGTGTTATCTTGATGGTCCCTTGCTATGCCATTGAATCGGTATTGTTTCTGCTCCCAGCTATATTTATCAATTTTTGTATCATATGCAAACTATTTGAAATTAGTCCTTCAAATTATTTAATTGCTATTTGGTCCCTTTTTTAAGCTATTTGAAATTGGTCCCTCAAATAATTGAAATTGCTAATATGGCCTTTGATACTTAAGTTATTTTGAAATTAGTTGTTTAAATAAAGAGTAGAATTGCAATTCAAATGACAAATTTGAAACAACTTACGGCAATTGACGGGTCTAATAGAAATCTCGATACGCAACAACTCCATATGTAGCAGTCACCTGCAACGCACATGCTCCTCACTAGTTCTTAGGAAAATAATTAGAGCAATATTTAAAGGGCATTTAGAGGTGGAAAAAGTACTGTAGCCACTGGTAATACTTTATGTTGAAGGACATTTTTTATTACCAGAACACAATCTGGTATCTGTCCAGAAAACATACGCTGGACGAGTTGTAGGCACATTGCTCTAAGGTGCCAGCAGTTTAAGCAATTGGGTGCGCCTTGCTATCTTCGTTGTTATTTTTTAGCTTGATTTGGATTTTTTTTAATTTTGTTTTTTTGTCTGTGAAATTACAGGAGCAGAAGTTTCTGGTTGGTGTTATCTTGATGGTCCCTTGCTATGCCATTGAATCGGTATTGTTTCTGCTCCCAGATATATTTATCAATTTTTGTATCATATGCAAACTACTTCAATTAGAGAAATATATCATAACTTTCAAATCAGTAGAACGCTGCCCATGTGCTTTCAGAAAAGTATGTGATAGTTTTGTGATAATACCTCAAAGAGTCTATGGTAGTCACTGAGGACGGCATAACTAAACCTATTTAGTATAAACCTTAATGAAGTGAAGATTTCGGTGTCAGAAACTATTCCCCTATTTCAGATTATCTGTATTCGTTTATTTGTGCTGTGTTTCTGGGATGTGTCATTAGTTTTACATTGACCCAGTGTTGTAGACCCAAAGATACAAGGGGCTATGAAACATATATGTTATTAAAGACTAACTAAGCCCCCAACCAATCGGCCTTCATCTAAGCATTCAGAATGCATTTTATGTATCAAGTAACTGTCATATGCACTTAAATGTTCTATACAATCTTTATGTGTAATCTATATCTATATAGATGAAACTTAACTGCAGTGAGATTAGACTGGGCTCAAACCTAGACAAGAAACTGGTAGCTTCGTCAAACAAGTGTCTGTTTGGTTCCGTTTTATTTAGTTTCAATCTATAAAGAGAGCCCAACATGCAGCTCCAACGAATTATATCCTTTCAGCAAACTGTTTATTTCGCTGCAAGTGAAAATGCAACATTTATTGTAAGCGATCTGCATGCAGCACTTCCTGTTAAGGAAGCTGTGCCGAATCCTTTTTACAATAAACCGCGTCAAATCCTTTTTACTTCCAAAAACTCGCAGCATCTGCTGCGGCCATCGCGAGTATCCTGGTTGTGAAAGAAAGGGTACAGAGTGGACAGATATCCATAGAGCACATTGGGACAAACTCCATGATAGCTGATCCTCTTACTAAGGGATTGCCACCTAAGGTCTTTCATGAGCATACTGCTCATATGGGTGTGGTATTATTTGAGGATATTATGTTTTAGTGGGAGTTTGTATTTGTGGTGCTTTATGTTTGGTTGTATTGTCTGATCAGAATAAAGTATTCAGTTAAGACACTCTGTTACATTATGTTTGGTTTTGACCTCACTAAGGAGGACCAGTTGAAAATAGACATGTACTGATCACATTGCATGTAATTTTCATGCTGCACATCCATGATTGATCTATGTCGTTTGATTGTATTGGTATATGTGACCATTGATGGGTCGAGTCACGATAAATGTGACGAAGGCCGCTTTGATCCTATATTGATATAGTCAATGGACGAGATTGTTCGGAAATACCCTTTCAGTGATAGCATTTTTTGAGCTCATAAGGTTATACACAATTTAAGGAATCATATGGTGCCCAAGTGGGAGATTGTTGGATTTAATCTAATAAATCTATTTGTGGGCACATATGATTAATCAATGTGTATTGCTATCTTTCAGGATAACCCACTAAAGTGATCAATTAAGTTGGGTTAATTAGGTATTTAAATAAGTCATGGGGTTATATGTGCAGATACCAGGTTGTAATTGTGATTTGTTGAGGGGCCAAATTGCAAATGTACAACATCTATAAATAAGGGGTTATGGTCCCTAACCTAGGGTTACATTCTCTAATTCTCTTCACCCCCATCTAGAGAGAGAAATTTGGTTAGAGAGAACCCTAATGTTAGAAGATCCAAAACCCATCTCAGGTTCATCTATGGATTCAGGTATAAGCTTCCGCTCTTTTGATTATTGATAATCTCTTCGAATTAATCATGGCTATATGGTTTTAGATCTAAAATTTTATGTAGATCTAACAAGTGGTATCAGAGCCACCTTGATTAATTCTTAGGGATTTAAGTTCTTAAAATTGGGTTTTTTGATCTTAAAATCTCTGTTTTTTGGTTAAGATCTGTTCTCGGATGAACAGTAATGTTCGGATGAACAGTTATGGTTTTATTTTTTGGATGAACAGTAAAGTTTTTCCTGGATGAACAGTAACATTTTGGAATTTTTGGATTTTTTTTCTTTGCTTTTTTCTTGGATCTGGATCAAGAAAATTTTTTCGATTCTGGATCTGTTTTTGAAAATAAAAATCAAAGTATTTTTTGGGTTTGATCGGCGACGGTTTCAGTTTGAAACCCTAAGGGTTCGTGCGTGAAAACGTGGCGAAAATTAAGGAGGTGGTTACCTCAAACGAACTTCGCGTTCGTTCTCAAGTGAGCTTCACGCTCAAACTTAACCGAACTTCGCGTTCAGTTCTTAAGTGAGCATCACGCTCAAATCAAACGAACCTCGCGTTCGTTCTAAGGTGAGCCTCACGCTCAATTCAAGTCAAACCTCGCGTTCGTATTTCAGTCGAACCTCGCGTTCGTTTTCAGTCGAACCTCGCGTTCGTACTTCAGTCGAACCTCGCGTTCGTTCTCAAGTTGAACCTCGCGTTCATTTTTCAAACGAACCTCGCGTTCGTTCTCAAGTTGAACCTCGCGTTCTTTTTCAAACGAACCTCGCGTTCGTTCTCAGACGAACCTCGCGTTCGTACTTAAGTGAGTCTCGTACTCAATACAGTCGAACCACGCGTTCGAAGTCAAGCGAACTTCGTGTTCACTATGGTTAAGCCTCGGCTTTTCATGGGTCCACTTTGGTATACTTAATTTATTTAATTAAGTTATGGGCCCTAATTAAGCTATGAGACCCCAAATTAAGTTTTTTTTGGAAATTCAGTTGATTTAAATTAAAATTTTTTAATTTAAATCTATTTTGATTTTTAATCAATTATTTAATTCAAATATTATGACACTAAGGTATTAAGGTTGTCTCTCACTCCAATTGATTAATTAAAACAAGAAGTTGCCAAAGTAACCTCTCTTGTGTAGATTGTTCATGAGGAATGTGAGATGTTTGTGTGTATACTTTCGTGTAAATATTTAATCGGCCCAAAGGAAGGTTAATATTTATTTAGACTGTATACACATCTGCGATGATAAGCGTGTGACAATTATAAGGTTTACATGTGAATAATGAATCGATCCAAAGATAGTTTCATTATTTGACATGAGTTATTGTCAATGTTTGATCATTGCAATAAGGTATCATTTATAAGTTAATATTACTGTCCAAAGACTTGATATTAATGTTGTGCCCGATATCTTGGATGGGGATTGTCATTATTTGAATTTTATTGATTATGGTTATTGATGTGAGCATTTTTGTTTTATTTCAGCTAATGCATCTGCTGCAACAATTTCTGCTAACATCAACTCAATTCCCATGCTAAATGGGACAAACTTCAAGGTTTGGAAAGAGAACATATTAATTGTTCTTGGCTGCATGGATCTTGACTATGCATTAAGAACTGAACAACCCCAACCTCTCAATGCGGAAAGCACTCCTGATGTAAAGAAGGAGCATGAGAAGTGGGAGCGTTCAAATCGCATGAGTCTTATGATCATTAAGCGCGGCGTTCCGGAACCCTTTAGGGGCATAGAATCCGAAGGGATTACTAAGGCTAAAGATTTCCTTGCCAAAATTAAGAAGCGTTTTGCTAAAAACGATAAGGTAGAAACAAGCATGCTTTTAGCTCGCTTGATTTCAATGAAGTATAAGGGCAAAGGAAATATCAGGGAGTACATTATGGAAATGTCTCATATTGCTTCAAAACTTAAGACACTTAAACTCGATCTTTGTGATGAG